CTATTTGAAGGTAAATTGCAACATTTTTTTTATGGGCCGTGAAATGTTTCTCAACATTGAACTTCGAACTGCATCTATCACAAATAAACTTGTACACTTTCCCACTTATTTTTGATGGGGCTATCTAAGTTGGAGAAGACTTCTGAGACTTTGAAAACAGCTGAACGTTTATGTACATTCGGCACAACAGTTTGATAATTCCATTTTTATAGGTAGGTACTTAGAGTACTTAGTTACGCGTGAAACGCACGTTGACCAAACAATAACATAAATGAGTAGGTATTCTGAAAATAGTTGTATGTCAACCGACTATACACTCCTTCCCTTGATACATAATTCGGCGCCAATTAAGGGTATTGGCATTTTACCTACCAATAATAATATTACATTACTGTTTCGCTTCTTCGCTCCAACGTTCGTCGGGCATGTCGATAGGTGAAGGTGATGTTTGCCCGCGTCCGCGTCTCGCTTGACGCGGTTCTCCCACTACGTTGTTTATGTTAATCCTTCCTTGCGGCAGACGCTAGTGAGAACAGCGGCAAGCGCGGGCAAAGATCACCTGTGCTCATCACCTATAGCGACGCGCGGCAGATTATACATGTTATTGCATGTTTTTGAATCGTAGATACTGATAACACACAACTGGCACTTTGAATACTGATATATGAGGATTTGGAGGTTGAGGCCATAAAATGAAAGTAAAATTAGGATATATATACAGTGTGTCCCACTTACCATGCTCACCATGGGTATCTTTTTAACGGTGAGAGATACGAGGTCGGTTAAATGACACCAAATGTGGAGTTTGTCAAGGCCAACTGTGATGTGAAAAAATATTTTGATAAAATCTATTCGGTTTTGTTTTATACGCAAAAAACAGATTTTGATCATTTTCATGTCTCCTCCGTAACTTCTTTATTTATGAAAATATTCGAATAGAAATTTCACGTTCTCATGGCAGTTTTTCGAAGTGATTTCGAAAAAAATATGAAATTTATACCAAACTCTTCTAGAATTTGAGATAGCAGCACCAACTTCAGTTTTTCAAATGTATAGGTCATAGCTCACTATGACTTAGTTACAAATAACTTTTTCTTCTCTTACAGATGATATGTCGCACGACATAACACCAGAGGTTTATTCCATCAACCCATCCCTAACAACACAGGGATGTCCTAGGTGCGTCCCTTTTTTGTCCCGCGGTACAAGGAAATGATTGGGACATCCAGGGGATGTCCCGCCAGTAGTTGTCCAGTGGACATCCCACCCGGTACATCCCTAGGTTATCCCATTCGTGTCCCTGGAATATCTGAAATCCATTCTTCACATCAGAGAGTCATTCAATATCATCAAAATATTGAGTCGAATTTTTTCGAAAATGTATTTCTTCCGGAAAATAATTGTTATGAAAATGAAGAATATAGTCTCAAAACTTATCGAGAAATGACCATTTTTCGCAAACAGAGATCGTAAATGCATAATGCCCCTCATTTTCAAACACCCAAGAATGATAATAATTATACCCGAATCCTAACAGTTTTATTTATCCAGGTTTCTGTAGTTGTCCTGTTTATAAATCTGTTCAATACATGAATCTTCAGAAGGCATATTGGCCAATGGAGTAAGGTGCGTGCCTGATAAGCTGAAGGTCCCGGGTTCAATCCCAACTAGACCTACATTTTTTTTTCTTTTGTCGAAGGGATGTCCCTGGGATATCCTTGGGACGTCCTAGGGATATCCCTTCTTTGTACTCGGTACATCCCAGGGACGTACCAGGAGGGACATCCCTTGGATGTCCTTTTTGTCTGAAAGCGGATGTCCCTGGGACGTCCCTAGTATGTACTTTGTCCCAGAAAAGATATCCCTGGGATGTCCTTATTTGAAATTAGGGACGTCCCTGGGAAGTCCCTAGGATGTACTCGTGTTGTTAAGGATATAGCACATGTACGTCCAATGAATGTCCAACGGATGTACAACATGGACATAGTGGACGTCCATTGAACGTCTAGTCATGTACATTGGAACGTCCAGAAAACGTCCACAGCTCACTGGATTTAACATCTTATGGACGTACATTCAATTCAGGATGTTCGATGGACGTACATTCAGGATGTCTGATGGACGTACATTCAGGATGTCTAATGGACGTACATTCAGGATGTTCAATGGACGTACATTGAGGATGTTCAATGGACGTACATTCAGGATGTCTAATGGACATACACTCAGGATGTACAGTGGACGTACATTCAGGATATTCAATGAACGTACATTCAGGATGTCCAATGGACGTAAATTGAAAGCAGTCAGTGTCCAATGTCCATTAGAGACGTCCAATGGACGTACGGATGTTCAATGGACATGAACTGAAAGCAGTCAATGAATATCCAAACAAAGAATCCATACTCATATAAAATATTATTTATTAAAAAAATATCTGTAAGGTACAGTGTAATATCATTCAATATAGATACAACATATGCTTGGAATTTATTGCATGAATTTCGTCATTCGCTGCTCTTGTTCAGCCATCATAATTAGGATGATGTCGAGTTAAACAGAATCTGTAATAGGTTTTCCAGCCTAATTTAGCGGCTAAATATTTTTCGACTCACGACATTCACGAAAGATTCGAGTAATCAAAACATACTATCTGAAAAAGCATTCATTAAAAAAACTGACAAGATATAGTTATCCTGATTTTTTGAGGGCAAAATTCGATAAAAATGAAACTGAAAAAGTAGAGCTATAATATTACCTATATATGAAGAGAGGAATAATGAAATTGTATACTTGTATAATTGGATACTCACCACAGTTCAGTTCAAATTCTATATAAACGTCCATACAGTGACTATCTGAACCCCAATGATTACTCCTCTTCAGAACCACATTATGAATATATATTCAATACATATAGTCCATACATGGACATCCATTGGACGTAACCCGATTGGACGTTGAACTTCCGGATGACCCAGCCATTATAAGTCACTTGTATATTGTATGACTTCTGAATATAGGCAGAGGCTGGATATTTCCCTGATTTGATTTCTCAAACATAGTAGATATATTTTTATAAAAATTATGGATTTATATTTTCTCCAGTCACCTCGCTTCTTCTTTCTGTTAAAAGAGACAAACAAAGTATTACTCATAGTTAGTCTAAGTCCTATATTCAGCAATTCAGCTCAACTTCAACTAGTAATACCAATTTGAAGCTCTCTTTCTGATATCATATGAAATCCAAGTCGTCCTTTCCGAACAAATCACAAGCTCAAAGGTTGCCCACAGAATATCATGAAATACCTATTCCGCATTACCTACAACGCCCCAAACCATTATCAGAGCACATTTATCATGTGAAATAAATAGTTATATGAAAAGGAATATCGGAACATATGCTACGTACCATCATACATGCTTTGGATGATTCAGTTCCAAATAGTCTGAATCCTAAATTTCATCACAAACACGTATAAAACACACAAAATGGCGTAACCTCCTTGTCTGCCGTCTACATGATATGTTCACTTTGGACTCTTTGGAGCTGGACTCGATCGATATCCTCCGTTGCCCCACTTCATGTTCCGATCAGAGCGCCATCTCGCATCCCCTCTACCGTGCGTCCAGCTTTCAACATACAAAGGATGTACAAAAACGTACCATTTGTGAACGTACAAACTGGATCCAATAATGTACGTCACTTGGACGTCCTGAAACTTCTTACTGTAGAAGTTTCACAATATCTAATATTGAACTTCCAATGGACATTCAAAAGACGTACATCATTGAACGTACTCTTCTAGGTCGGTCCAGAACTGCCATGATATGGATGATGTTTCATAATGTCGAAAATTGTACATCCACTTGACAATCATTGGACGCACGAAACTGAACGTACAATAAATATCCAGGATCGGCGTTCATCCACTGAACGTGCATTCATGTCCATTTTGTCAACGTACAAACTGGATCCAGTCATGTACATCCATCAGACGTACCATTTTGAACTTAAAAAATATATCCGGAATCGTACATCCATTGATCGTACATAGACGTTCGAATCGTAAACGTACAATTTAGATCCGATTTCGTTCATTTCTTGGACGTTCTGAAACCTAGGAATATGGATGTTTTGGTGAAGTCGAATATTTTACTCCCAATGGACATCCATAAGGCGTACACAGTACTGGACGTTACAAAATATATCCCTAATTGTACATCCATTGAACGTCCATGTTAGGTTCATGGACCTTTGGACATTATTTGGACCTAAGCTGGACGTCCACTGGACGTCGTGTGCTATATTGGAATATCTCAACAATAAGACAGTTTTGACGGGTGAAATTTCCAATATAATAGTTGAGTTCGGTATTGACATCAGACTGCTCCGATCAATCTGTGTCGTTCGTTTATGACATCTAGATGTAGGGGAAGTAAATCTCATCCGTTCGGCAATTAAAATCGGTGCGATCCGACGACAATCTTCATGCTCCGAGAATTTTGACCGAGCAAAGCGATTAATCTGAATTTGTGAGGTTAAGTGTTAAATTGTTCAAATTTTAAGTGCGTTGTATTATTTCATTATTCACTTTTCGTGAGTTTCTTGAGGAAATTAATGTTAAACAACAAATCTAACCACATAAATCCATTGAGTAATATATGTCTTAACAAAAATTAAACTACCTAAGACAGATTTGTCATGACAGCGCTCTGCACCGTTCGTTTATTCCAATTAATCTTTCTGATCCGTGGTCACATGACAAATAAATCCCTCGCATCTCGGATGGAATTGCCGAACTCGACTAATGTTATTGAGATTGAGACGAGTCATTTGATATGCATGAACAACGCTCGATCTCAGTCATAAGACTTTTTTGGTGCTGGAATCATATTGTACTCGTTTAAGTACAGTCTAGCAACAGAGAATTGATGAGAAAAAAAACTGCCAATAAAAACTAAATAAATAAATATTTTTTTAAACATAGGCAGATAACTCAGTTAAATCCGCTTTTCACAACTGTCAATAAGGAACTTGTCTTGGAAGAAGGTGCAAAAAGGTAGCTCTGCTTCTCCATTTCGAAGGGAATGAAATTCCTCACGCCCTCCAGTTCTCCGCTCGAAATCAGCTTCCATCCTTCCAGGAACTCGAATGAATAGATGAAGTACTTGTCGGTTCCTGTGATAATGGCCAAATAAGCGTCACTCACTCCATAACCTAGAAAACAAGAAATCAATGTATTGATGCAGAAAAAAAAACAAGAATACCTATATGGAAAAAATCAAATATTTCATTTCTAAATCCAAATGATGAAAAATCCATTCAAATAAAAATTTCAGTAGTCAAAAATAACTAGGTATATCTATAGCGTTGACATTATCCGTTTCCCCTGTGAAGAGAATTTTTCGAAGTCAATCCTATTTTTTTTATTCTAATGCACTCTCGCTATTTCCAGCATCAAAACAAAGCCAGTTTGATATTTAAACTACTCGAATTTCTCTTGATAGAACCACGAATGTCTCTAATGGCCTGCACGCATATACGGGTTCGCAATTAGTTTTAATAACCTCAAAGTCAATTGGCAGATTCCATTCGAAAAGAGTGTTTTTAACAATCAACAATTATGCAAACAGATGAGCGAGGCTGAATAGGCAAACATTGTATTTCCATTACTCTCTTGTTGGGCTTGTATCCTCATTGATGATAATTGGTATTGATCATATGATCAGCCGAAATGAATTCACAGCATTACCGTTGGAAAGTCCGTATCATGTAGGATTTCCATATGGCGTCAAAAAACTACAAAGAAAGATGAGTTTACGGTAATTCAATGCAACATTTGAAAATCGCCTGCTTTCATATGTTACAAAATTGTACGATCGATGTGAATAATTATTTATTCGTCTATAAGTATTGAACTACCCGGTAAATTTTCCTCAAGTTTGGTGTGTAGCTTAAACTTGGGACGTTGAATTCATTCACCTATCGGGCGGAGCGATAATCCAGGTTCGGCTTCAGGAAAATTTAAATTTAGTCGAAATATTAAAATAACACACTGTATGTAATAACTAACAGAGTTCATCGAAGAAATCGTGAAGAGGAGGAAAAACTGAATTGGATTTGATGCTTTTCGTTTTCCCGCCACCAATTCGCATCGTAACAATCATAAACAGATAGTTAAAAGTATGTCAATTTGAAGAGTATTAAAATTATAAAACCAGTTTTAATTATGATTATTTGATATATTTTAGTCAAATGATCGTTCGAAAGAACTTGCTATAAGTCTCACTGTCTTTATAACAGAGATACAGGGGGAATTATCGGTTTCGAATAATTATTTACTCGTCCATAAGTATTGAAGTACCCCAGTAATATTTTCTCGAATTTGGTATGTAGCTTACTTAGGACGTTAGATTCATTGACCCATCAGGCGGAATGGAAATACAGGTTCAGCTTCAGAAAAAGTCTCACAGTCTTTATAACAGAGATACAGGGTGAATTATCGGATTCGAATAATTATTTACTAGTCCATAAGTATTAAACTACGCAGTAATATTGTCTCAAGTTTGGTAGGGAGCTTACTTCGGACGTTGGATTCATTGACCTATCAGGCGGAATGGAAATACAGGTTAGGCTTCAGGAAAAATTTACATTTATTCGAAATATAAAAAACACACTGTATTCAATTACTAACAAAGTTCATCATAAGAATAATCGTGAACGGGAGAAAAAACTGAATTGGGTTTGATACTTCTAGCAATTATTCAACTAGAAGATATCAAACAAATATAATTCCATAATTCACCCTGTATCTCCGTTATCAATACTGTGAGACTCTTCCTGAAGCTGAACCTGTATTTCCATTCCGCCTGATCGGTCAATGAATCCAACTTCCCCAGTAAGGTCCATAACAAATGTTGAGAAAATATTACTGGGTAGTTCAATACTTATATGGACGTGTGAATAATAATTCGAAACTGATAATTCACCCTGTATCTCCGTTATAAAAACTGTGATACTTATAGTAGTAAGTTATTTCGAGCGATCATTCAACTAAAATATATCAAATAATCATAATAAAAACTGGTTTTATAATTTGAATACTCTCCAAATTGACATACTTTCAACATTCTGTTTATGATTGTTACGATGAGAATTGGTGGCGGGAAAATAAAAAGCATCAAATCCAATTCAGTTTTTCCTCCTCTTCACGATTCCTTTGATGAATTCTGTGAATTTTTACATACAGTGTGTTATTTTAATATTTCGAATAAATGTAAATTTTTCCTGAAGCCGAACCTGAAATTTCACTCCGCCCGATAGGTGAATAAATTCATTGTCCCAAGTATAAGCTCCATACCAAATTGGAGGAAACTATACTGGGTATTTCGATACTTATAAACGAATGAATAAACATTCGAAATCGATAAATCGCCCTGTATCTCCGTTATGAAGATTCTAAGACCTATCAAATATCGTATTTTCAGAACCACATTGGTGACCCCTATGTACCATTGAGATATTTCCCTTTACTTGTGAAACACCCTGTATAGCTTGGACTTCCAGTTAACTGTTTCACCAATTTGGTGCTCTAATTTTGAACAGTGCGAGATGCAAATGTTGTCGAAAACCATATACTACGGCAGTAATTATTTTCGACGAAATCGACATATTTCGAAAACTGTGATGATGAATTGACATGAATCAGGTTGTCTACACTCAGAATCAGAAAGCCAATTGAAACGTCTGAAGGAAAATGTATGTTTCTATTTGATACAAGAAATTTGGTGACGACTTTTGGCACACCCTATACAGGGTGATTCATTGGAAAATACGCATATAGTAAGGCTAGATGGAGGACATCAAGGTGCTTCTAAATAATCTATATTTCATAAATTTATCATTATTTATAACCAGGATACAGGGTGATTTATTAATTTTCACAATTTTTTCAATTGATCATAACTCATAAACCACCACCCTATACGCATTATTTTGATATTTGATTTGTATGTTCTTTGTTCACAGTGGCGACGATTGACATAATAAAAAGAAGTTTTATTCTAGGACCGGCCTTGAAAAAATTAATAAGTAGGTTTCGATAGTCGAAACGACACCCTGTATATCAATATTTTAAAATCTCATTTACAAATTTGGAGAGGGCAGGAAGAAATAAGTGAGAATGAATGTATTTGGTGTTTCCGCAACTTTTTTACCTATTAACTTGAGCCAAATCGAGAGGTTCAATAATGAGGTAGCACGAAATTAAAAAAATAAATAATATTTTGTCGTCCCCAAATGGCACTTTATCATTTTCACTTTCTAATTCCGATTTCTAGATCCCAACCTGATTGAAAAATTAGAGGACAAGTCCATATTTGGGACAAATATATATTTAATGTGAGACATTATCATAATATTTGTTCATCGCACTACATTCGAAACAATAATTATGAACATGAAGAACAATGCCCATTCCGAAAAAATTATAAATTTGTTTTTTACCAGAACATGAAAAAACAAATTTTTTTCTTTGTTAATTTGTTAGCCAGATGCACATTTCCCAATGAATCACCCTGTATAGTGTATAGCTGGACTGAAATAATTTGACGTAAATTGGAAATGTTCGATTATAAGATATAACAGCATACAAATTTCAAAGTTTTTAATCCAATTGCAAATTGGGAAACTTGTATGATATGTGGCCAACGTGAATCACTCTATATAATAATCGCAATCAACGAATGAATTGACGAAGACAACAAAAACAGTGCATACAGGGTCCGATGACTCAAACTATACATAAAAGTATGAAAGACTTTTGACTTCAAACAATAACAATTTGGGCCCATTTGTCTTGCTAGTTGGTAATAGGAAATATATATACTCAGGAAGACGAAGGTAAAATTGTATGGTAATTAATTTTTCGCAATAACTTTTCGGGCATGATAGTTTCGAAACTAGAGGTTTTCGGGCCTAAGAAATCATACTTTGCGCATTTTTTTTCACAAAAGTGGCTTTTATATATGTTACGCTCTCTATAAGATACATTGAAGTAGGTACCAAATGATGATTTCTTCTACTCAAAGACTCCTAGTTTCTAAATGCCCATGTATTTATATTCAAACACGTCGAAGTTATTGAGAAAAATTAATATGGAAATTTCAATTCTCTCTCATTAGTAATGTATTTTCATAGAGGCAAGTTGGTTCAAATCGGGAGGTTTTCAAGTCCACTTCTATATATAATTATCTTACGAATCACCCTGTATACTAGAGACCACAGAAGTGTTAGTGATATCTGTCACTTCAGCCCATATCTAGATAAATATTCAAATTAAAATGACATCATAACTCAGATAAAAACGTAGCTATCAGTAATAAGGTTTGGTGTAAATTGATTCCAGGTAAAAATGAGGACGCGGTGCCAGATTTCATTTACCAATGTCTTGAGAACAATAACAGCTATTTATATATCAAGGGAGAAAAGGCATCTATTTCCTTCCGCGTGTGAAGTTGGGAGGAAATGAACCTTTGCTCACAAGATATATACAGGGTGAGTCATGAGGAACTGTACATACTTCTACCACGAATGGAGATCCTTGAGGGGAATGTCTAATGACCATCAGATAGTGTCTCCTTCTATTCTTCACCAATATACATATAGAGTGAATTATTAGATTTGGCAAAAACATCTTTTGGGCATATCTTTTCAACAGGTCCCTCGATTCGTCTGATTTTTTTATGAAATATTCCTCTACTAAACCCCAATCGACTGACATTTCCAGAGTCGGAAAAATCCAGGACTGTTTTTGAAAAATCTCGATAGTTCAGTTCCACGGAAGGTAATATTTATTTTCTTCAAATAAGGGAGCAATCGCTTACTTTCGATTCAGTGAGTAGATATAATCGACTACAAACTTATCATGTTTCTCTTCAACTCTCTATATCTCGCAAACGACTCATGTTCACAGGAACTTCTCTCATTTTTCTGAGATGCCCTACCACTTCTTGAAATTCGTCCCACATATAGGTAATGAAACACCCGATACAGGGATAAAACCGACAAAGCTAGTTGGGTTATAGGGACTGTCAATATGCAAAATGCCATATACAAATGTCCAAAACCGCTTTTTCACTGACATACAGAGTGATTTATGGATTTTGACATACAATTCAATCCGCCATATTAAATACAGAGATTACCCGATTGGGTTC